GCCATGTTGAAAAGCGGACTTGATCTCCTTGAGCGTATAAGAGTAATGCGACACATTTGTCCACTGCGACATAGAAAGTAGAAAATTACCGATCGATTCAAATCATGTGAAGAATTAGTTTGATGCTCAAAAGCATCGGCAAAACACTTTTCAAACGTAACCTTATAAGGCGGAAGTGGTGTACTGGCAAATGGCGTGGTTGCCCCTCCCATGGTCAGTGGATCAGCCGGATCACATGCCAGGCTAACCCAGCTTTCTATTCCTTGAGGTCTTTGACTTTTTTGGAATAGAAAAATGGCGACTTGCGCAGCAGGTACCGCAAGTCAATGAGTAAGCCAAAGCTCAAACGCCAGCACCGTTCTGAATGGAAGTGGAATGCGTGGCGCATACCGAAGGAGATTGATCAACTCGATTGCCCTCCCTTTGACTTTTAAACCTGATTTCGCAGTAGAACGGACTGGGTAAAATTCTCATATTTTCCGCTATAGCATATTAGGAACCATTTTACAGAAGGTGCGCCTTTTGATTTCGATCTTGATTTTGTAATTTTGTAACCGATAGCCGCGTGTGAGGAAACAAGCGGTTATAACAACGTACAGTATTTATAATCTTAATTTTTATTCAATCAATATAGGTTTCTGAACACCGCGTTCACATGCTTTCAACACAAAGCAAAACGAGCTACATATATATTAGAATATAAATTGGTCGCGCAATGTAATGATATGAAAGAAAGGAAAGAAATCGAGTGATGATGGTCGAATACCGTTTGCCACGGCTGGGATCGAACTTTTTACCTTTTTTTATGCCTACAGATGCAATTCATCTCTGATTATGTAGCAGGAAGAATAGCCATCGATATAAGTGAAATCGTATGCGATCTACACAGATTATGCTCAATTCAAACAGTAATCACTAATATTTTAAAAAATCACCTATATAATTACTCTAGTAAATGGAAGAAAACTGCACGGTAATCTTCTCAGTTGGGCAACAACTTCAGTGGCGAACCCGATCGTCCATGGGATCCATCGGACAGTGTTGCACGAGCTCGTGCGACGTTTAAGCGCCGATCAATATGCATATATTGGCCGGTGCCGCTGCACGAGCTTCAAAATATGTCAGAGAGCGTAATGATGTGTGTTTGTGGATGTGCACAATTAAGGAAATCAACACAATAATAACAATAACACATAAAAAGGAATGAATTAGAGTGACAGAACGGGATTTGGAAATGAGGTGGCCGGGCCAGGCGCGTTACATTTGAATTTGCATTTGCATTCCTTGGGCAATCACTCGCGATCGGCTCTCTTTTTCCAGCAACTTTCGCTCACGTTCTATCCGATTCTTGATCATTTTCACTTTCTTCTTGATCAATGAGCGATCCGAGTGGTTCTGGATTCCCATAGTCTGAAAGCAAAGGATATTTCGAAACGGTCTTTCCATTCAGTATTTCCATGAGTATGAGGTGGAGGATTGGCGATTGGCGCAAACTGGTCATGATGGTGAAGTCCGCGGTCCCAGACTCCGGATCTATCCACACTTATCAATAAGATTAAACTTATCAGTCCACCCAAGCGCTTGATTGGTAGGAGTTATTCATGTGTGGGCAACATTTGCGCCTTTGCAAACCACGTATGATCAATATACACGTCCTAACTAATCAATTTACACATTCTTAGGTAAAAGCAGAGAGCACGGCGCATTCAAAAACAAGACTGGTCGACGGTCAAAAGCCGCTCTATGTATTGTTTGTTGTAGGATCAATTGAAGGCTCAAAGTACGCTATTTTCTCGGTGCACTTTCAGCAGAAACCAGATTTAAAATCGCTTAGAAAAAAAGATTTCAAGGAGTATAAGTGATGACCAGGAAATATCTTTGTCAAATTATCATAAAGAATCGGCCTCACCAACCATGTAAGCATGTTGAGAGAATTTAGACTTCCCGACGAGCCGTTTCTCACGCCTCCTCCATTTACTAGTGAACCATTTTTGGGTCTAATTAAAGAAACAGCATAAACCCTGCTTTCAAAAACCAGATGCTCGTCGAGTGCAGACCACACACCACAAGTGACGACGGCCTTCCACAAAATGTAAATGTTTTCTGCCAATGAAATGATTAGCCTGTTGCAGTTGTATTCTATCAGTTGTCACTAATTACAACTATCATTTACCAAAATCAGCTATCACTATGAATCACTAGTTACCAGATTACTTAGAGGCGTCGTCACTTGTGGTGTGTGGTCTGCACTCGACGCGAATCAAGTCTCGGAAGCAGAGAGTATATGCATTATGATCTAATGGCCTCACCTTTAGCTTCGTTCCATCTAATTCTAAGAACTTCGCTCCAGTGACCTTGTTAATCGTGAATTCTGGGACATATTTATCGAGGCCCATAGAAACCAGTAACTGGCAGACATCATCAACTGTCCAATGAAGCACTTGCAATCCTTGAATTTGTTCGCAGGAAGCACGCCAGAACTCGTTCTCATCTGGAAGAAAACCTAATTAATAAGAAGGCAGGAGTGATCAACAAATGTGGGCACTTCAAAAAAAACATGAAAAATGTCTTGATAAAACCATTCAGCCCACACTTACGTCAAGCCTTCTGATTATCATTCAATAAACCCACATAGACTGCACAGGTTGCAGCCAATCTGTGAGAGGAGGGAGCTGTCGCGCGAGGTCGCGCTGCAACCGACTTGTTTTCAAAAACTGGGAATCTCAGAACATTAGAAGCATATGGGTTTTTTGTCGGATGAAAATGAGACTCAGAAGTCACTGGAAGAAGTGCTGAAGTGTGCAAAAAAACTTCATACTTTGTGACCAGCAAAGCCGTCTTCGCATCTCGTCGCCTGCGCGACGAGGGAACTTTGCGCTCTCTTCGCGCGCAGGCTAAGGGAGGTCATCCCCGGTGCCGCCCATCCTACGCGAGGCCATCTGACATGCGTGCCATCCTCCACCTCCTACATGAACGGCGCTCAGTATAGTTGGCGAGTTTGCTCGACGCATTCTCTCTTCGTTGAGAGAGCGCAGAGAAAACGAGAAGTGGGAGGCGAGCACACGCTTCAGCGCGTCAATGCGTCGCGCATTGTACGTGACTACAGCAGAACATATAATTCACGCTACTTCGGGTGCTCACCGTGTCCAAACGGCTTAAGTCCTCATCTCTGTAAATTCACAGACTTCGATCTTTGCACATGATGTGTAATTTACCCATCCCGGAGTTCAACCTAATAAGATTTTCCTTTAGCAGCATTAGTGGAAGAATCCAGGAGACTAGAA